AGCAGTAGCGTAGTGGCAGTGGTAGTGGTGGTGGTGGTGGTGGCGGTGGTAGTAGTAGTAGTAGTAGCAGTAGTAGCAGTAGTAGCAGTAGTAGCAGTAGTAGTAGCAGTAGTAGTAGTAGTAGTATTATTTTTATTAGTAGTAGTAGTAGTAGTAGTAGGAGTAGTCGTCTTGGTGTAGTGGTGGTAGTCATCGTCATCGTCATCATCATTATCATAATCATCATCATCATCATCCTCGTCCTCATCCTCATCGTCATCATCGTCACCATCATCATCATCGTCATCATCATCATCACCATCATCAGCACCACCATCAGCACCACCATCAGCACCACCACCACTACCACCATCACCACCATCATCATCATGATCATCATCATCATCCATCATCAACTTCTAATCAATTTCTCATCATGCTCATCAACCTCATCATCATCATCATCATCAGCAAAGTCATCCTCATCCCCATCCCCGTCCCCATCCCTATCCTCATCCTTATCCTCATCCTTCTCCTCCTTATCATCATCATCGTCATCTCCAATACCATCATGATCTTCATCGTCTTCATCATCAGCATCGCAATTGTAGTTCCCGCTGTAGCAGCCCTGTATTAGAAGTAGTTGTCTGGGCGCCGGCAGGTGGACGGATTTGACAAGCCAGCATCGTGCACGCACAAGGCCTCGGAGCAAAGGGTCCAAGTTTGAGGCTGGTCCTTCACCCGTCTTCCTGGCAGAACTGGAGACACAAGTGCTTGAAGTACAAGCTTGGCACGCAGTGCGCGACACTGGAGCTGGACACAGGCAATGATGCTTCGGTTGCGTCTTAGCGCCCGGGCTTGATTTGCCTAGTTCCAGGTTTCTGCGCTCACCGTCAAAGGGAGGGGAGCGAGTGCGTGTTATCTTTGGTACGACAATATACCAGAGCTGGAATGCTGCCACAACCCAAGCAAGCCCCCATATTCCCAAGGCCTGGTATACTGGAAAGCAGTCCGGAACCGGAGCCCCATATCTGGAATTTATCTGGAATCCTCTGCTTCCTCCGTTCCAGGGGACGGCGCAAATGGATTGAACCCAGCAGTCCTGGACGCGCTCCAGGTCGGCCCAGTCTTTGGTAGCACGACCGTCACCACAAACCAACGTAGTATTGAAGACAGTCGGGGGGAACGCCGCTGATTAGTCCCACCGCATGCTACCGGTACCACTTCTATGCAAAAACAGTGATGCACCTGTTAGCAGCCTTATAACCAAAAAACTCCGAATGTATGAGAAAAGGTGTTGCTACAGTAGTTCCTACAAGAGCAACGTGTCACCAACCAATACCGAACCACTTCTACAAACACACGCAGCAAAGGACACACACAGCAACAAGCCTTACCCGAGCGACAGCAATGCCAAAATCAGCTGTAAACTCGGAGGATACAGCGTGAATACCAGTCAGCAGCACTTCTGACAACATGCATAGCTGCACCAAATTCGGAAGGAAAAGTGTGACGAAGTGTTCATGGCATCGAGTGGGGATGCTGTTTTGTAGAAGTAGAGAAGTCTGGGCACGTTACATGGCCCAACAATAGGGCACGATGTTGCAATCACTCGCGCAGGATGCCATTATGGACCTTCAGGTAGCGTGGGAGATTGTGTGAGTCTGGGAGGGGCATGATACAGCGGCAAGCAATTTATGGTAGCCCTCGTCCCTCGTTGCCGTCATAACATCAAGTGCAGCTTGACGTTCTGTGCGAGACGCCCGGCCAGTGTGCGAAAACCTGATTCGAGCTGCAGGACCGGAGCGACATCAGAGTCGTCATTCTGAAGTTGGGCACTTGGCTCTTGTGCAAGTCACTGACGCTTCATGCCAGCTGAGCTTCCAGGTCAACAGGGAAATTCTTCAGCCAGGGCTTTGACCCCAAGCACCTTATGGCTGAGTCAACGATGTCGGATGAGGCCCACTTTCATGCATGTCTATCAGCTTTTTCAGGGATTGTGCAGCAGACATTCACGTCAGGACATCATTGCGTTTCAGACGCAGTTTGCTTGATCCCCAGCCGTGCTGGCATTAGGTCTTCGCTCGAGGCATCCTCACCCTCTCGCAGTGCTGCGTTTTTCGTTCCCGCTGAGCGACTGAGGCAAAAATCCTCTACTTTCTGCAGAGGCACGTCCAGTAAGTTAGCTACTATCCTGGTTCAGGTCAGGGTTCGGCTTCCCGTGCTCCGCTCGCCAGATTCTGCACTCAAACCATGTCAAGAGAGAGGGTCCAGCAAGCAGCACCTATGCAATCGTGCAAAATACACCCCCCAACCTTGCTGAGACAAGAGCCAGCCTAGCCATCTGTTCCACCTGTATCTTGGGGCTTTGAAAGCCCCAAACTCATCCAACGGGTCTCGATGTCTCGGAGCCATGGGTGGCAAGCCGAGCAAAGTTCCGGGTGGAGCCATCTTGGCAATCAGGGAGATGAACCCAGATGGCCTCTGCTTCGACGTCAACGGTACCATGCGCTTCAAAGATATTTTCTACAAGGAGAGCGATGAATTGCCTTGCCCTGCAGCCTGCCGTGTTGCCTCACCCCTCGCCTCAATCCCGAGATGCCCTCAAGAGCATGGTTTATATTTATATCTGTATGTGCCTCTGTCTGCATGTACATGTGAATGAACGAGCTAACGAATGTATGTGTGTGTATGTATGTAGTATGCATGTTTGTCTGTCTGTCTGTTTACTTGTTGGATTGATTGCTTGTTTATAGTATGTGTTGGTGCATATCTGCGTACTAGTGCGCATGTACAAATACATGAACGAAGGAATAATTGAATGAGATAATTAATGAGTGAATGAATACATGTTCACTGGTGGGGGGAAAAATTCGCCACTCGCCCACGCGTGCCACTCGCGCCACTCGCGCCACAGCTGGGCAACAGGAACGAGTGGAACAGAGTGCGTGTGTGTGTGTGTGCGCGTGTGTGTGTGTGTGCGTGTTCGTGTGTGTGTGTGTGTTGGCGCTCCAGGCTTCCGCCGGCCGGGGCTATTGTTGCGTGATCCCAAACCGCCACTCTGTAGACAAAAGGAATGTGAGTGGAGCAGGTAACGTAAAGGACGAGTGGAGCGAGTGGCACGAGCGGAATGTGAGTGGAACGAGTAGAACGGTCGGCGCGAGTGGAACGAGTGGAACGATCGGAACGGTCGGAGCGAATGGAACGGTCGGAACGAGTGGAACAGATGGATATGCCCCCCCCTACGCCGACACTCTTGACATGTTTGTATTTATGTGTGTACGTAAGTATATAGGAACGTAAGAAAGTACATAAGCATGTATGCATGTATGCATGT